TTTCCCGTTTTCCTATTCATCTTTTCCTTGTTATCCTTGATGAGTAGCACAGATCTACATATTTTTCTAATATAGACTTACAGTCTAGGTAATGGCAATTCAAAATGTGTGAAGTTGATGTCATGACCAAGCGCTTACCACTGGTTGGCTGACATATTACTAGCCCGCATCCCGCGGCCCAACAATCTCCCCACAGCTCCTGCAAACCCATAGCAAATGTGAAACCACAACAAAGACACGAATTTATTTCCTTAGACTTGTGTAATAGTCAAGCATCACGTTTTGATTGCAGCACCACGCTGGCAGATTGGTGGCCAGCATCCCCCCGGCCCAACAGAGGACATTGAAAAGACTTCCTTCAGAACTCATGAAGGGATCAATGAGTTTGAAGTCATGTTAATTGGACTTACTAATGCTCCGCTGCCTTTCAAAATCTTATGAACTCCATATTCAAACCTATGTGAGTAGGTTTTTATTGGGTTTTTAATGATATATTCATGTACAATTCATATCTTTCTTCACATGTGAAACATCTCAGAATGGTCGTATTAATCTTAAGGGAGCATCAATTTTTTTGTAAAGAAGAGTAATTATTTATTTGGAGTTCGTGAGGTGGAATATTGGGTTACATTATATCTAAAAGGGAGTAGCTACTAGCTCGGGCAAGTACATGCCATGTAACAATGGTTGTGCCCCAAATCAGTCATAAAAGGGTATGGAATAATGAGCTAACCGCTCACTAATCTCTTCAAGAAGAATGAATAGGAATAATGAGCAAACCTCTCACTAATCTTTATGGTCCCTAGCGCGGTAAATGTCTGGGCGGTGAATACACTTTTTTTTTAAATCGTCTTTTCACAGTTTTCCCTCTAATAGAGTGGGTTTCAAAAATCTTTTGGGAAATATTGAAACTGACAATGGAGGTCTTGACGTCTTTAGAACAGTATGTTTACACACTATCTAAAAAAATGACTTTCTATTTATAGTAAGTTGACCAAGGATTGTTTCAATGATCTTTCTGAGAAGTTGGATGTGGTAAGAGTTCTTACCATGTTTGTGGAAAGCTGATGAGAATGCTAATCACACAAATTTGCACAGAGTTGGCTGGGAGAGGATAGAACAACCAGGTCAAAAACAGGTTGCTGTTTTTGTCTGCTAAGGTTGTTGTTAGGCGAAAAATTTGAACTATATGTCAAATGAAAATGTAAACTTGCAGAAAATATAAATGGAGTTCAAAAGGGATGTAAGAAACTCTGAGTTGTTGTATGAATTTACTTGCTTTGGGGATAACAATTTTGACAGAATTGTGTTCACCTTAACTGGGCATACAAACTGGATTTGTACCAATGTCGTTTAGAAGACTTCAAGAAAAACTGTTTATTGAAAAGTAACTTCGCAGGACTTGGATATAGTGAGTGTGTGTTTGGGTAAACTTAGAAAATAAGTGACACAATAAGTTATCTTGATTCAGATGTGGTGCAATCATCCTACATCCAGTCTCACACTCTTTCAGGTGGATTTTCACTTAGTTATTCAGCCCAATACACATAGTGCCCAATCTAGCTTTGATCACAGGCCTGGATTGTCAGGTTTTCACAAGGAGTACAACACCACTCCAAGTTACTCTTTCCTTGGTTGTTTCACTAATAAACCCAACTGATTCAAAAGTTAATCAGTCCTATTCTACCTACACTTTGGATACCTTCCAAAAATCTTACAGTTTGTCGATTAACAAAGTAATCTAACCTCCCAACTAAGATTAAGCTCTAAGCATATATCTTTGAATGAACTAGTCTAAGAGCTTAAAAGTGTGAGTGATATTAGAGCTGAGCGAAGGGATAGATTAACACTTTCGATTTGCTACATCTTTGTATAAGTTCGTTTAGTAGGCTCTAGTTCCCCGCTTCTTCTGTTTCACACATCTTCTGTATTTATATTATTTGGAGTTGAATATCTCCCATTGGCTGAGGAGATTCAATCATCTCTGTTGATTGATCCACTTGGTTTGACTATTGAGGAGCATGGACTTCTTTTGTCTTCATACGGCGTGTATGCGGCCCTTTTTGTATTAATACTACCTCATTACTATTGTGAAGTATTTCGAGGAGTATGGGTTGGATATATAATATCTTTCGCTGCACTTTTTTCCAAACAATTCTTTCATTCCCTCATAAATACTTCTACGGTTTGAGGGTCCCAAAAAATAATTTTGGAAATCCTTTCTTTTCAGCAATTCTGAAGTTCTTCAAAAATATGTAAAGCCATATACTTTGTTCGCTATGTGTAGCAATTATTTCCTCGGCCTTTGTTTTTAAGTTTACCTTTTTCAGAATTACTGTGTGTCCCATCAAAAATAAAACTTTGTGAATTTGACTCTGCTGCTAGAGAGAAAGTTGTAGAGAAATTTCGGGTGGTTAACTTTGGTTTGGACAACGAGGATTGATTTTGAACATTGGCAGCTTGTTGTTGGGGTTTTGAGAGCCGGCTGGTGAAGTTTCAACACCAAGTTGCTATTGAACCAAAAATATACCAGTTAACTCTTTTTCGTACCTTTTCTTTTTTCTCTCTTTTAGTACTCTTCTGTTTTTCTTTTTGTATGAGTATTACACGTGCATCATCAAAATAAAGGGGGGCCTTAACAACTGCCGTACAATCAAGTGATATCACCCTTAGTCACCCTCACTTGGTTGTACAAGGCTTCCATGAACATAGTTCATACAGTACCCGGTAATTAAACAGGCATAACAACATCAACATTTAATCAAAACAAATAGCGGAAATATTCAATGTTTGATCATGTGCCACAAACGGCAAAACATGAGCTCGCGGGCCCAAAACAGTTAATAATAAATCCAAATATCCATGAGCATTGTTTATTATTTTGGAAATATGAAAAGGAAAGCATGAACCACGTCCTCCTTGAAATGACACCACCTATTGCAAAGGGGCAGGTATCGAGCTCAAGTTTAAACTTGAAAATGTTGAGGGCCCCGAAGGGGTCGGTACACTCGTATTGGCGAGACGCAAACTAAATGTAGAATAACTAATGTTTCAAGCATAAGATCCAAACATAGGGTGATACATAAACGTATAATTTTCCCCAAGTCTTTGAATACATTTAAGTATATACACTTGGAAAATATTTGACCCTTATCCCTTAGGTAATGTGTTTACTTGGGAAAACATATTAGTCTTACCTTTTGACTTATTCATTCTCATACCCACCCAAATACCTATGAGTGTGTAGGACTTCTCCTAGTCAAATTAAGTATTTAAGGACACCGTCCAGTCCTAGGTTACTAGCCTTATTCTATGAGTTTTGAGGACAAATCCCGTCGCTGGGTACTCCACTGATTTCTTATGAGTTTTGAGGACAAATATCGTCCTTGTGTACTCCATCAATTGTTTACGAGTTTTGAGGACAATACCGTCCTCGGGTACTCCACTGATGATTTACGAGTTTTGAGGGCGATTCCCGCCCATGGGTACTCCACCAATAGCCTTGAGAACAATTCTCATCCTTGGGTACTCCATCGTAACCTATGATCTACTGCATACCATACTTGGATAGGGTCTATATGATAAACATTACATAAGACAAAATCAAGTTTCATAGCCTAAGAGAAACAATCCATGCAAAACATCTCATTCCGGACAAATTCAGGCATAATCGGCGTCGATCCTACCTATAATCAGTGTTGTTCCTATTTAATTTATATAATGTGTCAATTTCGTACTTGAACCAGCGTCGGTTCTAACCCTAATAGGCGTCAGTATGTTGCTTGTTTTGCGACCGGTCAACGCTTTGTTGACTAACCAATTCAAATCCGGTCTATGAAACTTAACCACGACATGTAATATGTCATAAACAATCAATATATGCATTTATGGTCATTTGAAACATCACATATGTTCTTTATATGCACTTTAAACCGTTTACATGCATATTATACTAGTTTATTAATTCATATAAAATCAATTACCTTGGCTAGTCACATGGTTAAACACTTTTAAACATCATCATGAATACATATAACATCTTTTAGGTAATCTCATACTTAACCCAAGAGATATAAGACATTAACCCGTTGACTCACCTCAAATGAGCTTTATGAAGATCTACCCTCTTTGGTTTGCCTCCGATGAAACTTCGGCGACCTCCGGCTGTATCTCCAGCGACTCAACTTCGTGTGAACATTTGAAACACCTTAGACAAGTCTCTAACAAGGTTTCATAACCCCAAAACCCATATTGAGAAGGATAACCCTCAAAAGTTTACTTTCCGGCGAACTAGACTCTTTTGGCTTATAAGTCTGTGACGAAGAAGCCACGGGAGATCCAACAAACGTGGGACCCGTAAAGGACCCAACAAAGAAGGGTGGCGGCTCCGGTGGCATGTGCAGCACAGAGAAGGGCGGCGGATCCAACGTCATGGGCATCACAAATAATGGCGACGTCAATGGAAATCGAGGAGGCAGATCCTCGAACAAAGAAAAAGGGATAGCAACAGTCGTTGTTGACGTGTATGGTGCACTGTAACCGGAATATGGCACGCCAAAGGAAGTGATGGTCGGATGCGGTACCGTGGTAGAGGTGGCACCAACGGAGGAGGTCTGCGCTAGAATTATTGTAGATGATGACCTCGTGATGCTTGGAGACGGCAGTGGCAAGGATAGAGATTCGGCCGGAGAGAGGTGATCGCGGAAAAAAACATGGCCATGGAGAAAGCCTTCATATCAGCGTAGCTGCGCAGGAGAGATGAACGAGCGGAAAAAAAGTTTAGGGTTTTAAGTGTGCTCTTGATACCATGTGAAATAATGGAACAAGTTGCTCTCTAAGAAGCCCTGGAAAATCTATATATCATAAATTAATGTGATGTAAAATACATAAATATTCCTAGTCTATTACCTGTGCAGACGGCTGGACATGATTTTTCCGTCAAGTGAAAAATAGGTGAGAAATAAGAATAGTAAATGACAAAAAAGGGGGATTGAGTTGCTCTGAGATTGAAACAATCGCTATATTCTAATGATAAATCAGCAATGACTAAAAAAGATTAATTGTAGGCGCGCATAACACATCTGACAAAATTCAACACAACATAAAGGGGGTTAATTAAGTAGCATTGAAAAATCTACAAAAATAATCTATAAAAGATGGTATATAATACAAGTAAAATAGAAACACATGCATCATTCCAAATGACAGGAGGTGCAATGTACACGACTCTCTAATTCTTCAAACGGCAGACAGACTCATGACACGGAATTCCCACCCCTACATTTTAAGATTTCAGGTACGTTGTAGGGTTGATGTCACTAGTGTTTGGCAATTTCCTGAAATTCTTTGTTCCATTGTCATCTCCTTGTCATTATTCAAATGTACATCACGCTTCAATGGCCTTTAACCGACACAATTTGGTTTGAATCCACATTCAACCAAGGCGGATATCTTGTGAAAGGAACACGGCCCAGGCTTCCTACAATATCATCAATAATAGAACAGCGTTAGAGGTATTACAATTCAATGATATGACCCCATCTCAAATAAAACATTATACTAATAGATGGACTGCATATGTACCTTAATTATATTATTATATCTCAAAACAACTACAGACAGTAAGAACTGACAATTCAAAAGAGTACAAGGTGAATTGGATCATAACCAATATTGTAAAAGGTACCAGACGTCCTAGTCCTAGGCCTAGTGCCTAGTGGGAGACTGAATCTCAATGCAAATATATGGGGCCCAAGCTCAAAATAACCTCGAACTTGTTTAGGATAGATTAGAGCTTGTATGGTAAAAGCTATTTGGCTCAAATGTACGGAATTTTTGTAGATGAAAAGCGGCTTTGGCGAATACCATTCCGTCCCAAAGTTAGCCAAAGACTATTTATACTGATTATTCTACTGGTAAGCATAATAAGTCGAATAAGCCCCTTTTGGCTTCTTAATGGCCTAAACTGCATACGTGTTTTCACCATAAGTGTTTTCCCATTTAATTTAAGCACATAAAGTGCTTTTCGGAAGAAACATGAATCCTATGATATCTTAAATAAGCATAACAAGTGTTCATATTTCATTCTAAACGTTTCATTTTTAAGCAACATACTTTTCCAAGCATTAATTTCCCGAAAATGTCACCCCAAATGCTCTCTAGTCACCAAAATAGTTCTCAGCCAAGGATTAATTTGGCTGTATGTTTGTACCTGAAGGATAGAAAATGCCTTCTCTGCGATGTGTTTTTGCATAGCAGTAGCACCTCTTTGCTGAAGCTTATCTGGGTGTAGACAAAGCCTAGCTTTCTGATAAGCCTTCCTCACTCTGGAACTTTCTATTAAGTATGTCAGATGAATTGGGAGCCAACCACTGTTAGGCCATACAATCTGAAACCAGATGTGGAAGTGGATCATTCTCCATTTTGCTAAGTAATCCACTAAAGACTTGAGATAAGGTATAAAAAACAGAGACATAACGTACACGATGCAGGGTTGAAAGGAGCAATCGGATGTCAGCTTCCTTGCCAGTTGACCATAACCTTATCTTTTCATCTAGTAACTCCATTTCCATCTGCTGTTTTTTGAAAGCAAAATTATATTCTCAGTGTTCTCAAATTTTTAATATAAACTATTGTTTTAAAATTCTTGCTTAGTTGCAAATATATCCTATAATCCAAAATATTAAATACAAACTAATATGTCCAGTCTTCACTATCCTCCTATTAGATTAATCTTTTAGGATGAAACTTCATGTGTTAATATAGCATAAGAGTTTTTTAAACGATGAGTCCTACATGTTAGTATGCTGGCTGTGTTTTGTTTTCTCAGTGTCTTACATTGGTTTCAATGTAGATCATCGAGGGAAAAAACAATAATGCAATATTCAAGCTGGATGATATTTGATGACAGATTGAAAATAACGTTGACCATTGTATACCATAACATTCCAACACTAATACAAAGGATGAAATAGTCAGTCGAGAGTCGAGAATATGGAAGCTTACATTAGTCTCAAACTTCGGTCTTCCTTCTCCCTCTACGCGCTTATCAACTTTCTCTGCCTGCAGAAGTGGGTCACCGAAGATGATGTAAAGAAAAGCCACAATCGTAAAAGCAATGTTAACCATGTACAATTTTGAAGTGTTTCAGAAGATCAAGTAATTGATTTATTTACCACTGTTGGTTTTGTAAAGTCGTTCTTATCATTTCGCTCATCAGAAGACTGACGTGTGCTTGGCATGTCTGCAAAATATAAGTTATCAGCAAACATATAAGGTTAAATGAACAATAAATAGCAACTTCGTATTCCAAGAGTGTTCTTAGAATTGCTTTGGTCCTGTAGGCAGTAAGCTGAGTAATTTCATGGAGCAGGCTGGGGTGTGTCCCCTCATTTTTTTGTGAAGTGGTTGAATCTCAGGATAGCCAGCTCATCAGAGGGAGCACGAACAATAAACATGCTCGATGAAATTTTGAGGTGGATTGGGACTTGGATAGTTAGAATATGTAGCTAGAGAATACCTGATTGCTCTTTCTCCTCTGGAGCCACTTGTGAACTATTCTCAGAGCAGTGCTTCTGAAATTTCTCTTTTGCCCAAGCAATTGCTTCATCCACACCAATCCCTTCATTATTTACTTCTCTATATCTGCTCCCATTGATCTCAATAACATATGAGCTCATAACTTCATCATCCTCATCTTCTTCGGACACTTCTTGATCGCTCATTGACTTGTCTTGAACGCCACAGGGTAGATTAGCCTCTTGGTCATGACCAAAAGAAGACGCAACAGAAGATGGTGAATTGAGGTCCATATCATGATCTGTAGAGATTTTGAGGCTTCTGTATGAATTGGGATCAATACTTATAGTTTCCGGAGATGAGTTCCTCCTGCTGAACCCGAACTGAGGGTTTCTGAGGCTCTCATTTTGCTTGCTTTCAGCATTGTAAGAAGGGGGGTGACACGGAATTGCTGGCGGCGTACCCTGGCGTCTTGGGTATTCATCAGCTACTCTCTTTGCATTCCATCTAGACGGCACATTTATTGGCCTGAAATGAGAAGAAAATGAAAGTGTACATTTTAATTTTACTACATGATGATCTAACATCCTCTAGTTATCCTCCCAACTCTAGGTGTCTACTATATTCAAGTGTGTGTATATATATATATAATAATAGAGACGATAATTGCAATAGAATTGAGGATTGGATTGGATTTTGGCAATAAAAAATTAATCCAACTCATAGACTAATTGAACTCATGCTCTTATAACCCTGTCTAAGGCTCTAAGCAATAACATCATTAGCTTCGAAAATATTTGTTTACTGGGTTTAAAAAACGTTACAAACAGATGGCGTTCTTAATTGCTCAATCGTATATCAAGAGCTATATATATTGCATCACTTCAGGTTTAAAAAGGTATGTGTGTGTGTGTGTGTTAATGCGAGTGCATTTATTTACATAAATAAATGCAAATAATTGTACGACTTGGTTATATTCTATGTAGTTAATAATGGGGGAAAGTGTAGGGGGTTTATCGGAGGTTAGAGTGATCTCAACAGAACCTGAGCTTTGAAGCAAAGAACGAAACGTCGGGATCGGCTTCTCCGATCGCCGGCCGTAGAGGGCTGACGTTCTCGGAGCTCTGTACCGAAGATGAGCTGGCTTTGGATTTCGATCCGGACCGTGTTCTCGATCTTCTCATTTCTTCTTCTTCTTCCGACCCGAAAATATCGCTGTAAAATCCATCATCGTACATCCGGCTGCACTTCCCAGACGGAATCCTGAATTCGGGCAATTTGCGTCCACACCTGGTCGGGATGACATTCTCCGGCGGCAGGAAGATTTCCTCATACAGTGGACACTTCCGGTAATCGCTGACGGAAAATTGGCGGCGCATGACTGTCCGAGGAGGTCCTCCGAAGACGTCGCTGAAATCCTCGGCGCCTATAACCGGAGATTCTGAGCCGGCGTGCTGCTTGGTTCGACGGAAAGGGAGGGTGGACTTTTTCTTAGCCGACTTCGTGGTCGAGGGCATTTCCACTCCTCCCATTCTTCCTCTCCGGGACTCGTCCATCTAGTTTCGCCGGCAGAATCAGAGAGGATTAGTAACCATTCCTGATTATGATTATAACAAGGAAGTTAAAAAGAAGCAAAGTTGAGCTGGTGGGGATGCGCACATCATATACCCACGCGCACGCAGTAAGTGTCTGTATAACTTTTCAGTCCTAAAGAAAGAAATACGGAGTACTTGATCAAGCCATCTGGCAAAACATTCCACCATAAAAAGGTCCTAGAACTTTCATAAAAAGGTCAATTAAGTTCTTCTATAGGAGGTTTTGTCCGGCCGTCCCGATTTGGGGCAGTTCCCGGTGGAATTTTTTGATGAAATGTTTTGAGCATCTTATTCACCAAGTCTAGTTTACTCATACCAAATTTCAGCTAAAAATTCAATCGGAAACACATTCAAATTAATTCTTAAAGATAACTGCGCATTTTTGGGTTCTCGAATTAATTTGAATGCGCTCCCGATTAAATTTTTAGCTGAAATTTGGTATGAGTAAACTAGACTTGATGAATAAGATGCTCAAAAAATTTCATCAAAAAATTCCATCGGGAACCGCCCGAAATCGCGACGACCAGACAGAGTCTCCTATAGAAGGACTTAATTGACTTATTTATGAAAGTTCGAGGACCTATTTGACAATTTTCCCCTAATTATATTTTGGATTATGCTTTGGGTACACAAAATGTGTACACATGTCTGTCTTTCGGATAAAATTTGTCTGTCACAAACAATTCATTATGACAGAGACAGCGATAAATATTGAGGGGCATGTGTATTGCATAAATTGATGGAAATTATATTTTAATTTTTCCCCTAATTTTGAGAATGAAATGTGAAGGGAAAAATATAAGGAAAATGTTTTTGGTACACAAAATGTGTACACATGTCTGTCCTTCGGAGAAAATTTGTCTGCCACAAACAACTCAAAAAACTTTTGTGGCAGACAAATTTTCTCCGAAGGACAGACATGTGTACACATTTTGTGTACCAAAAGCATTTTCCTTATATTTTTCCCTTCACATTTCATTCTCAAAATTAGGGGAAAAATTAAAATATAATTTCCATCAATTTATGCAATACATATGCCCCTCAATATTTATCGCTGTCTCTGTCCATTAATATTAAGACGGAAGGAGTGACACAGTTATTTAATAAATGAGATTATATGCAAGAATGATTTGGAACCCGCTGACATGACTAAATTTGATATGGGACAATTTTAGTGCGATTTCACGAAAAGGTAAAATGGAATAGCGGGACGGATTACATATTATCTTCGTCCCACTCAACTTTGTCACCTTTATGTGTATGTTTGGCCCAAGTAACTGAAAAGATATTTTTGAGAGCTTTTTATTAATTGTTAACTTTTAGTGACTGAAAAGATCTTAAAAAGAAAAGGTGCCAGTTGTTTGATAAAAAGTTGACTGTTTGATTTAGTTCTATTTGGTATACAAGCTGTTAGAAATAATAATACTAAAATTCACTGACTTTTCTCAAATGCTACTTTATTTAGTATCTCAAAATAATATTATATTCTTTGAAAAGCTCTTAAAAATTGTCATGCAAACATACAAATAGAAGCTTTTAGAGACTTTTTAAAAGGTACAAAAGCTAGAAGGTAGAGACTTATGGACAGAGTCACAAATTCATTGCTTTAAGAGGCAAGTCGAAAAGTTTTTGGGACAAAGAAAAAAGGCAAAGAGCATGTTCCCCGTTTAGTGACTCTGTTTTTTGATTTATTAGTCTTATCAGACATCTTTTTCATCACGCACATAACTTTGATTTTGTGCGATGTAATGTGTAATAATCAAAATAATTAAAGTTGTAGTTATTTTCCTATCAAATTGACTGAAATTATTGTAGATGCTCATTTTAGCGATTTTATATTATTGTATAACTTTTTCTTTATTTTATTAATAAAATATATTTTTAATATAAATTTTCAAATTTTAACAGTCACAACTTTAGTCACAACTTTTTAAATGTTACGTAGTAGTAAAATTAGTCGATTTAGTGTTACTTTAGAAAATTAAAGCATATATTTGATCGTTAAAACGAACAAATAAGCGCTTTCAAAAAAAAAACGAACAAATAAGCCATATTTTTCTACGTGTTAAAATAATGCCTTAACTTACAGAGTATTTAGTCATATCTGATTTTCACTCGTATAATGTGGAACAACGTGATGCATATGATTTATTATCCACCCACACATGTGACATTGTATTTAAATATTAATATTTAATTTGTACTTCCTTTATTTTCATCCACAAATTCATTTGTTGTCTATTTGATATTCCCACCATATTTTTATAATAATATTTGACATAATGATTAAGAGAAAAATAGCTGGAGTTTTCAGCATATAAAAAATATGAGTGAGTGTAGAAAAGTCTCAAAGAGAAGATAAAAAGTAATAAAATGAAGGTCATTGAGTGTTTTAGAAAAAACTCCCAAAAAGGGAGAGTGTATCAATAATTAAAATACATTTTAAAAGAGAAAATGTAGCAAACATTTTAACATGAAAGGGAGAGTATTTATTTCATATTTTTCATTTATTCATCCATAAATTATTTAATTAGTTATATTTAACTTAATAAGTTAATTAAATTGATAGTGCACACAAAGTACGCATAAGGCCATACAATATTCTATATGGAAATTGAACGCACTAGTACATAAATAACTTTTTACATCAGTTAAAATTGACTTTTTACATCATAGCTGCAGTCATAGTAGTTGTAGTAGTGGTGGTGACCTGTGATGGTAGTGATAGTGATAATAGTAGTGGTGATGGTAGTGATAGTGACAGGACTGGCAAGGACGGATTTAAGGGGGGCAGGGGGCGACCGCCCCCCTTGGACTTTCAAAATTTTCTACTATATATGTTATATTTTCATACTTTAATTAGATGCATATGTTTTCGTCCCCCTTATCTTTTAGTTTCCAAAATTAATATATAAGCTCACATAATGTAATGTAATACTTAATTGGAGATTTCAAAGAAGTAAAATCTAAATTAACTTACATAATTTAAACAAATAAACAATAGAACAACTCATTGTTTAAAACTTAGTTATGTAATTAATGTACTAATTATATAAAAATTCCTAGTTTCGTAATGTTTAATTATCTTTATTAGATAATTAGTACTCGATTTTGTAAAATATCAATGAATATTAAATATCAGACACAATGGTTAAATAGTTTTTAGATCATTTAAAGTGAATCAAAATTAATTATAAATGTTTTTTGACACTAAGTTACACAATTAATTTACTTCTTACTTTGTAAAATCAATTTGTTGCATAGATAGTAAACTCTAACTTATTTTAGCATTAATACAAATATAATATGCTTCATGTATATATGAATTAACAATACTACGTATCATATTATACTAAAACTAATAATCTCATACATACTATTGTAATATTTAGAAAACTCCTCGTAATCCACAAATACCCTCTTTCGTAAACAAAAATTGCAATTCAAATCCTGATTCTATATTCTTATAGGATTCATGTGGTTAAACAAAGTAGAAGTTATTCAAAAAACATCGGTTTATGTGTACCTTTTAAACTTACCTTCAAATAATTTGATAAAATGTTATAGTCTTTCTTATTTTCAAATAATTTTCTAGAGCACTTAGAATTATTAAAACAAAGTTATTTTTCAATTGTCTAAAATTTGAATGTAATAGATTAAATGTCGACGTGTATTTACTCATGGAATTTTTTGAACAAAAATTAGTCGCAGAGTGCTACACTGGTGGAAAAAAATCATCCGCTACACTAGTGAAATTGTTTTGCCCCGCTACACTAGCGAAAAAAAATTCACCCTGCTACACTAGCGGAAAAAATTTCGCTCCCTACACTAATGGAAAAAATTCGTCCGCCTTGACTCAAAATCCTGGATTCGTCCCTGAGGGCCGACTCAATAGATTAGAAGACCTAGTGCAAATCAAGTTAAATAGGTTTTATATTAAATAAATATAATATAAAAAACAGTCAATTTTTCCCTTAATTAATGCTGAAAAATAATTATTTACCTGTTGGGATATTGGGCCCAAGCCCAATACACCCGGCCCAAAGCATAAAGAAGGCCCAGGAGAAACAGGAGGCCCAACGGAAGCTAGAAGGTTCAAGACATCCCGAACGGGGATACCTAAACGGCATTCGGGTGGATTTGTCCACTTGAGACAATCAACGGAGTACTGACATCAAACACCCTCAAAGGGGGCCCGCACACCGAACGTTCTACCCAAACGGGTGCCAGTAAGTGGGAGCCACATTTAATGATGAATTATGGCTACAACAAGTAGAGGGATCGATGCATTTCGTGACAGGGGTAACAGCCTACCGGGTTCAGCCACGTGTCCATCTCACCCATCCCCTCTCTAGTATAAATACATGGGCTTAATACATTGTAAAGGGTTAACATTTTCATACTCAGAGCTTAGCAATAGAATCATCTCCCTTGTATTGTATTCAAAATCATACCGACATACCGTTCGGGCAGTTATATTGTAATCACCGAATTACTTAATACAAGTTAGCTTCTGAGTACTTCCCAATTCATTATTTTTATATTCGGCACACTTTCTAAACCAGAACCAAACGTCCTTAATATCTAAAGCGTGTGTTGGGCTTTCGGATCTACGGGATAAAACCTCAACATTAAGAGCCAAACGTCCTTGAGAGCCAGAAGAGTCTGGCTCTCATCCCACTCTTGAGCAAGGAGTGTCATGTCCCGCTCGGCCGCCAGGAAGGCTCGGTGATAATAAGTATCGGCCTAAAAAATGAAGAGATACATTAGTAGCAAGTCCAGAAGAGGTTAATACTAACAAACCAACAATGATACCATACCTTGAGACTCTCCAAGTGGCCTGCTTCAACCAGATCAGACCAGTGGACCAAGTTGGTGAAATTCTCACCGGCCTTCAGGGAAGTGCTGCACCACATAGAGGATGCAGTCTGCCCGAACAGCGTGCGGCCCTCAGCACGAGGACCCATGGCGGAAAACTCCACCACTAGCAGATCATTGATCGGGATGTTCCCAGAGACAGAATCATCCTTCTGAGGAAAGGAGGGAGCAGCACGTTTGGGGTCCAGATCAGGAACGGTTAGATCAATGACATGGTCGATCGGGAGCAGTTGACCAGTGCTCTCAATCCAGGGGCGTTT